CTTTTCCATGCTTTGTAGCATAACTCGATCTGGCCTTATGTCATTGACATGCTTGTATTGTTCCAAAAATGACTTGGCCAGGTCCTTCCAGGTCTTGATATTTGATCGGCTTAGCTGGTTGTACCACCGAATGGCTGAGGCCGACAGACTCTCCTGGAAGCAGTGGATCAGGAGTTGGTCGTTTCCTCCATATCCTGTCATCTTTCGGCAGAACATGGTGATGTGAGCGGATGGAAAACTGTTCCAGTCAAACTTCTCGAATTTTGAGGACTTAAATTTTGGAGGAAGAATTAAGTATGGGACTAGACTGAGTTCCGCAACATCAATTCCAGGGTAGTTATGGTATCCTTTAACTACCTTCATTTGATCCTCTAATTTCTTGATTTTCTCCTCCATCTTCCTTGATTTGTCCTCTTCATTTGAATCTGGTATATGGTAATAACCCGGATTATTCTCAGGGTTAAATAAAGAGGCTGAGGGCTTCGCTTTTGTAGCAGATGAGTCCCCTGGAAGTTTCGGTAAGATTTCAGGTGAGACAACTACTTGTGGGGTAGGTGGTATAGTTACCTCTTCCGGTGAATCTGCCCCAGGTGCACTAGTCTGTTGTAAGCCAACTAACTTGGCAACGATCTGATCAACCAAAGACTCTTAGTTTTTCATGATTGCATTCAGAGTACTCAGATTACTCTGGTTTATCTTGTCTTCAAGTTCTTTCTGCAATTTTGCCATGTTCTCCTCGATTTTCTCCATTCTTGCTTCCATCTTCTTCTTTTTCAGGTGGGTGTTATTCGGATGGGATGATTCCAATGCCTAAGGTGGTGTACCCAGTATGTGTTCCTTTTGATGAGACATGCATATGTTAGTTAATGCAAATGTAAAGAAAATAACAGAATGCAAAATGTCTAAATGCATGATGCATGAAATGTCCGAGGCATTGATCTAAAAAATGTGTCTGTTATTAGAAATAATCCTTATTGGGGACAAAAGTATTTTATCTTTTAAGAGAACAAAATATTCTGACAGCTTTTGACATGTTGACTAGTCTTCTATCTTCGTCCGTCACCTGTTGATAACCTGTCGAACCGCTCTGGCTTCTCTGGATGAACCGTGCAAATGTTGAGTTTCTTTTTGTACTGGCCCAAGAAGTATCGAATAACTGTATCTCTGACATTTATCTTTTGTTGAATCTGTTCCCAACGAATACGCCATTGGAGCCCTCAATTGATAGGAACTATGTGAAGTTCATTTGTCTGTTTCTTAAATTCGTCAGCAATGGTCTTCAATTACAGCTATCGTTTTGCCATTGTTATCTTTGAAGGGACTTCCAAGATCAATAATCTTCATCTTTCCCCTGCAACCTCTACCAGTCAGTTCTTGAAAGATAAACTTTCATTGTGCTTGATGTAGACCCGGTTCATTCTGAGTCATTTATAATACAATAGAGTGATATACTCTTCAATTGTGGGCACCACGTCTTCTGGATTGAATGTGACACATAGTCGCCTTGTAGACTATCCTCTCTATTTTCATCTCTAGTATTACAACCCCTTTATCCATTAATACAGATTATATATGTTTAACAAACACGTTTTTGGTGGATCAACACCTCTTTTAAATGATGCAAGCGATGAAAACAAGATAAAAGAGAACAAAAAAAAAGGATTAGTGACGTAAATCAAAACGATAATAAAAATGAAAGATCCTACCCCATATGATATCTACCCCACATGCATATTATTCCTACTCGGACATGATCTCTATCCCGCATGCTAATTTCAAACAAATCCTAACCGCATATTCGTCTAGTTCGCATGCTTTGAATAGAAAGTAAAGTAGGAAATAACTCAGGCATCCTAGGGTTTGAAATGAGGTTTTGGGGTGGGCTCTAATTCCATGTACTCTCTCAGTTTAGGCTCTAAAAAAGGTACTCGAGTTCTCCTTGATGGTGCATCCTTGGGCTTGCCAGACCCTTAGTCCTAAGCCCATCACAAGCTTTTGTGGACTAAGTTAAATTCGAGAGGAAATATTCCCTTATGCCCATACGGAGAATAAATTCACACGAAGGCATAAGATATATGAATCCCGAAGGTTACTTGCTAGGCCCATACGGTGAATAAATTCACACGAAGGCGTCGCTTTCACCCCCACTTAAAAGGGTTCGGAGCTCGGGTATAGAGCTAGAGATGACAATTTTGAAAAATCTAAAATCATTAAAAAAGGTCAGTACAACTATTTACTTGAAAAATAATCAAAGATAAATAATTAGAATCGAATAAATAAATTAAAATTTAAACTTGTAATTTTCGCTAAAAAAGACAACCGGAAATTAATTTCGGCCTGACTCACTTACATGTCCCTAGCGGAGTAGCCAAGTTGTCGGAACCGTCTTTCAGGTGGGCCTGGAATTGGGCTTCGACTTGAATAATTGGATTAGGAGTCGCCATCGACCATTTTAAAATGAATTTAGGTGGGTCGGACACCATCTTACATGATCTGCGTTGTACCAGAAACGTGTTGGGCTCGGGAGTCGGTTACGATCAAGGAAGGATTAACACCCTTGAATCGCCCTTTCGGTACAAATTAATTTATCGGTTGTCTTTAATTGCGAAAATTGCAAATTTAAATTGAAATTTAGAAATCCGACTCGAATTGTTTACCTCTGATTAATTGAAATTATTACTGAAAAAGGCAAAAAAAAATGTTAGATAGAAAAAATAAATAAATAAAGATGAAAATATAAAAAACAATGGTACTAAAAAATAAACCAAAGGAAAGAAAATAATAATAATAATAAATTATCTATACCAAAGAAATAGAATAAAATTAAATAAATAAATAATAAAGAAGCATTAAATTGATAAAAAATTATTTTAAAATGAAAATAATATGAGGAAAAAATAATACTAATAATAATTAAACGCATGATAATAATAATAATAAATAAAATAAATAAGAATTTAGGGATCAAATTGCAAAAAAAAAATATAAAAGAGGACCAAGTTGAAACAATTGAAAATCCAGCGGCCAAATTGAATGTGGTGACTGAAATGAATTGTGGCTCAAACTTACAGGGGCTGCAGAGAGAATTTAACAATCTTCTAATTACACATTAGTCCTCGATATATAAATACCAAAAACCCTCCATTCTCCCCTCATTCTCACCATTTCCCTCCTCTCTCTCTCAAATTGAGAGAAAAAAAAATTCTCTCTTTACTCTCTAAGGCTCTCTCGTCGAAGCTACCGTCGGCCGCCAGTACTCGCCGCTTCGGCCGTCGCCAAAACACTCCCCTCACCAACCTTAACAAAAATCAGAAGCCAAAATCCCCAAAAAACCCACTGAACGGAGTAAATCTAGGTTTGAAGTTCCGGTTTTTACCCCTTTTCGTCGTTGACCCTTGGATTTCCGATGCTTCTCCTCCGGTGCCGTTCTTCGCTCCTATTGTTGAGAGAAAGGCCTCAACCTTTCTCGTTTTTGTTGGTATTTGGGGCGATTTTTGTATAATATACTCGTGTTGATTTTTTTGTCTCAGTTTACTGTGGGTACTGTCGTATTTTGGTTCTTTGTGGTTTTAATTTACTGGCTGTATATCTCTGTTGATCGATGATACTTGGTTGATGGTTCTCTGAGGTTATCTCTTTAGTGTACTATTCTCACGATGGTATTGTGTTTGGTTTTGTTTTTTGGCAGTATGCGTTAATGGTTCTGTGTGTTTGGCCGATGATCGTTTTTTCTCCTCCTGGCCGTCGTTGATACCTTGATATTTATAGGCTCCCATTGGGGCCATTTCCGGTTGTGGTTGGAGTTGATCCCGGATATTCCGGGGTTGTTCTCGGTGATCTCGGATGGTTCAATCAGAGTAGTTTCGATTTTGGTGCTGCACGTTGTCAGAATCCTTGGCTGACCGATGACTTTAGATCTTCTGGAACCCTTGATCTCGACCGTTGGATTGGGTCAGATCCAACGGTCCAAGATCACATGCGGCGTTGGAGTTTTTGTCTTGATAAGTTAGGGTTTTGCAACCCTAATGGACCTGGGCTGGTTCAGGCCTGTTTAACCAATGTTGGACCCAAAACGATGGACCTGAAACAAAACAAAATAAGTTAAAATTAATAAAATGAAATGAATAACACGAAATAAAAATAAAAATAAAAATAATTATATAATATATATTTCAAAAAATTTTAAACTATATATTATATTCAAAAATGTTTTCAAAACTATATATATATAGCTTTCAAAATGTTTTGAAAATATTATATAAGTTTTCAAAAAAAAATTTTAAAACTAAATATTATATAATTCTTCAAAAATGTTTTCAAAACTATATATTATATAATTTTTCAAAAATGTTTTCAAAACTATATATTATATAATTTTTAAAAAATGTTTTCAAAACTATATATTATATTTATCTTCAAAATGTTTTAAAAACTATACAATATATATTTTTTTTAAAATATTTTAAAAACTATATATTATATTTATTTTCAAAATGTTTTAAAAATTATATAATATATAAATGTTTTCAAACATGTTTTCAAAACCATATATTATATGTATACTTTCAAAAACTATTTGCAAACAATATAATATATAGATATATATGAAATAAAAAATAAATGGACGAAAATGAGTGTCTACACATATTCAATACAAATATATGTTCTTTCATATTTTTAATATATGGTATGCAACATATAACATACATAACCGAGGGACTTGACTCAAACATAAAAATTACTAATTACTAAAATTTTCGAGTTATTCAAGTTTTAATTTATATCTCGACTTGAATTTGAAAGTTTTTCAAGTCGATTCGAGTTGATTTTTTTCGAGTTGAGTTAACAAGATTGGTTTTTCGAGTCGAGTTTTACTCAACCCTAGTGGATTGTTTAGAGTGATACATGTTTCATTATTAAAGATAAAATGATGTTTCATTTCTAGCTACCGCGGATATGTATGGCATTTTATTTGAAGTAGTCATGAACTTATATTGCAGGGTAGGTTGAATATATAGGACGTTGAGATGTTGAGGAAAGGAAGCAAAGTTTCTGGTAGAGGAGAGACGGGTGCACCAAATTATGCTTTTGGCCCAGCTGAAGATGATGTTATTTTAAAACACAGACTTCTGACCCATACCACGACTACGAGAGGTGAACCGCCATTGAAGAAGCTTCAAAGGAAGTTCATCTCATTTGTGTTAGAGGTTGAAAAGGATGAAGGTAACTGTAACGATTTTGCAAAACTTTCCAAGGATTTCTTGCGAGAGTTGTCTGCATTTGAAATTCCAATACTGAAGGGTAAGGGTAAGGCTGTTATTGATGCAAACCTTAGAGAAAAGGAGAGCTTCATTGCGTTGAAAGATGAGATAAATATGCAGATATTGTTTGCACGGACTGTCATAGAAGATCTAAAGAAACAACTAGAGGAAACTAAGTTTGAGAGGCAGCACAAGGAGGAGTGTGAAGCGATTACAAAACTGGTCTCTTCACAACCACCAAGATCAGATACAGAGAAAAGCATCAGAGAGAGAGAAGGAGATTGCACCGCTGGTGGCAGAGGATACTGCTGGTTCAAGGTTACTGGAGTTTCGAAAAAAACAGTTTGCATTGCTGCTTCATGTGGTATGTTTAATTCTGTAAGTTACATGCAGTTTTCGCTGTTTCTGTTCTAAACATGATCGAATTGAAACATCTTTTTGTGATGCTTGACATGTTCTGTATGCTAATATATGTTGATTGTGAGAATATGGTCTCTTGAATCCCCTCCATGAACACACGTTCTTTGTTTGCTTAACATTATCTCTATATTTAATCTCTTTTGAATCCCATATATTACCTAAAACTGCCCTTGCTGCTTTTTTCCATTCTTAGAAGCCAATGCATGTTTGTCAACTAGATTCTGAGTTTGTTTGCTATCTTTTTCACATTGGCACTGAAATTATTCCTTGTTGGATTTACTAAGTTTTTTTTCAAGATGGATATGTCCTATGAGAGAACACCTGCTATCATTTTAAGCTATGAAGATTGGAAAATGAAGATAAATTGATTCAATGCGGATTCAACTTATTGATGATTTATTTCAGGTCTTTTTGTATGTATACTAGTTTACTTTTTCATTAACTGACTCTTATTCCCATATGTAATGGGTAAGGGGGAGATAGGATAGTAGGCTGCCCCCAACGCCAGGTTGAGAGCAGCTTCCGTAAGAGACCTCCAAATTATGAAATGCCCTCCGTGGGACTCGATCCCACGACTCTAAGGTTAAGAGCCTTGTACTCTACCAACTGAGCTGGATGAGCAGATTGCGACTAGGAAATTTCATATTACCTTTGTAATGGACGTGGCTTGGTCTTTCTATTATTTAACTCCTACACTGAACTTCTAAGATCATCTATTGACATGAAGAACTACTTTGTTGTTGGTATCAAACAATACTTCTTCTTAATTGGTTCCATATTCCTTATTGATTTAGGCAGACATGATTTGGAATAGATTTATGCTTTATTATAGCCTTTTCTCACATACTATTTGCAGAATCTTAGTATCATTACTTGTTTTAAATTAAAATTTGAATGGAATGGCATGGTTCTTAAAATCCTTCAAGTGACTACTGTTTTGCTTTTGTCACCATTCTCATGTGCTGTCCCTTTATGGGTTGTGTTTTGGTAGCCTCAATGATGCACCTTTCCCTGTTATGTTGCATGACAACGGATAAAATGTAAGAAAGATGCATCTGCATTCTGATATACCCAAAACATCTTAAGAAACTGGTTGAATCTGTATGACATTAAATTTTCTTATCGTGCTACATCTACTCCCAGGCACGTGGATGAGTTGCAAAATACCATAGAGGAGGAACAAAACAGTTTGATTGACTAGATGATAATGGTGACTGAAAAGCAGAAGAGTGGGATGGAAGATGCCAGTGGGGGCTCTGAAGCCATGGCTGTTGAGTAGCTTGGAGCTACATCCAAGCTTTGCACTTGTAAGGTTTTGTAATTTTAAATCGTGATTGTTTCCATCGAAATAATCTTAAAACTTTGTTTGTGGCTTATTGAGCTAAGATTTAGATTACAAGTCCATCAATCTTTCTTTTACTATCACATAACTTCTTTAAACAGAAATAATGATACTAGTTATTTATATATTTTAAATTCGAGTTCCCAGTATATAGAGACTTAAGATTCGCTGACCTCTTTATCTGGTTGTATCAGAGAGATATTCTCTTCTGATGTTCTTTGGGTAAGTGTTTAGTGTAATGTTTTTTTGGAATTATTAGCCGGAACCAGGTTTCGTTCTGTGTATCAGGTTTTAAACTTCATGAATTAACCCATCCATTAGTGGTGCTTACTGGTACAAGTTCAGTATATATATATATATGCTGTAATGGAAGTGTATAGAAGGTGCATCATTGCTTTGTCGAAAGAATGCATAATTGCATTAAACCATGTACTAAATCAGGTTGAATGCAAAGAAAAACAATTAAAGCTTGTGTCCCAAGGTAACAGTGATAATTATCTTTTTATTTTCCTGTGGACCAAGTAAGAGCTGGTAGTTGTAAGTGTTAAGTGGGAATTAATTTGTTCTGGTATTTTTTTTAATGTAGACAGGCTGACGGATGGGGAGTCGAGCAGGGAATTCGATGGGAGCATATTAAATTGAGACGACTAAATTAGTTTACTTTGCAGAATCACTAGTCATTGCATATGCGTAGGCGGTGGCGGATCCAGAAATGATTTTGAGTTAGGGCAGGCACAATCAATGAAATAAATAACTAACCGAAGAAAATTCGAATTGAAACAAGAATAGATCCATCACAGTGCATATGCATTTTAAAATTTGGACTCATCCAATTATTCTTGTAGTTTTGTTTTGATTACCTAACTATTTTTCTTTTCAAAATCATATCTAAAGTTCAATTCTGGTGACATGTCCTTTTTAACGAAACAAAACGTAATTTTATGTATGTAGCATCTCAAATTTCGGGTTAATAATTTTGGGTTGACCCAAGTGAATTTTAGATGAACCTAATAGTCCATCAAGGAACATTGAGCCAAGGTTGAGTTTGTTTGTGCTAGAATTGAACCTAAATGGCCATGGGCCAAAAGTGTAATTAGAATTAAAAGGGGATTTTTGCATAGAAGGTAAAATATGAGAGGCCAAAAGTGCAATTAGACCATTGATGAAAAAGAGAATGATATCTTGAGATTTTATAAAGTGTTGGGCTTGGCTTTTGGGGACAAAAACCTAAAGGGCTTTTGTCTCTTCTCTCCATCTCCCCTTTCTCCATTTTCGTCTTCATATTTCCTTCACCAAGCTTCACAGGTCAAAGTTAATTTATTTGGGCATATTTTAAGCTCTCTTTAAACTATAACTCATTCATAAGCCTTCCAACAACCTTGTTGTATGATTTAACAACCTTATTTTCACGTGTTAACAAGAGGAAGTGGGTGGTGAATATCTTAGTTCAAAAGAAGAAGGAGATAACAAGTGTAGTTGAAGAAATGAGCTTCATTTCGGATACCTTAACTTAAGTATTGTATTTCTAATTTTTTGTGGTGTTATGAATTTCCTAAATGTGATGTTTGATGGGGATTTGAGTATTTCAACATGTTGGGTGTTTGCTTTATTCTTACCTTAAGGACATTTTTGTTGCAAAGCTTATGTTTTTATGTGTTAAATGACCATAACTAACTCTCCTAGGCTTTAGAACATGATTTGGGACTAAAATTAGGGCTTTTGGGAGGATTGTTTGAGTGATTCCCGAGCATATTTCTAGGTTTTCTGGGTTGTAGTATATATACTATTCATATAGTATCGATATTGTTCATATATGGGTAAAATCTGGGCATTTTGTAAGGCGAGTATCGATATTGCTTCTCTGGTATCGATACTGACATTCTCAGTATCGATATTGAACCTCTCAGTATCGATAATGGGAATTTTTGGCACTTCAAAATTGTTTTTAGTACCATTGAGTATCGATACTACAGGTAGGGTACCAATACTTTCTATTTTGGATGGTTAAATTTAACTTCGTTAAGGCCCATAAGAGCGAGGGATAACCCATAATAGTGAGATTTAGTCTGGGAGAGTCTTAAGTGGTTAAAAGTGGCTAGAAATTGTAAGTTTTATGATGTAAATTCATAGATTATAGGCTGTAAATTGGAATAAATTGTTGGAGTTTCATAATATAATTCCCTAATTTATATCTGATGATATTTAGGGATTTTACTATAATGTAGATATTGATTTACTTATTTTGTGTATAGTTTCCTAGTTTAGATTGTCTTTGTAATCTATAAATCATTCTTATCAATAAAAACTAATTGAAAATAATATATATGACTCACCATTGAGAATATGATTCAAACACCTAGTTTCTACATGGCATTAGTTTAGGTTACACGATCAATCTTCAATGGCTACTACAACACATGAAGGTAGAATATCTTTTGCTTAGTTATCCCATTAGAGTGATTCTACTCCATGGATTGTAGATTATAGAGCATTAGATCATATGAATGGAGAATTGAAATTATTCCAAACCTTTCAGAAAATATTGCCTCAATCCTGTGTCAAGACCACAAATGGGTCTTTATCCACTATCGAAGGGAATGGTTCAATTCTCTTTAATCAGGATATTGAGTTATATAATGCGCTTTATGTGCCTAATTTAGCTTACAATCTTCTATTAGTTCATAGATTATCTCATGACTTACAATGCACTACTAAATTTTTCTCTAAATTTTGTGAATTTCAGACTATAGGTTTATAGAAGGTGATTAGCAGTGTTAGATTGTCTAGTGGACTTTACATTCTTCTGGGGAAGCCACCTCATAAACGACAAGCCTATTCAAGTTGTTCTCTTCAACCTTTAAATTTATCCAACGTTCCAAATTACTCTCAAGATATCATATTATGACATTTTAGGTTAGATCATTCAATTTTTCATTACCTCGCAAAAATGCTACCTACTCTCTTTATTAATGAAAATCCAAAGTTGTTTACAGGTGACATTTGTCCCCCGGAAAACAAACAAAAGGATTTTACCGTCCTTCCACTTATAAATCTTCTCACCCTTTTTCTATTATTTACAGTGACATTTGGGGCCCTCCAAGATGTTGGGACCATCGGCTCACCCCATGGTGCAACGGAAACAAAAATTCAACGGTCTCACTAGTTATCCAAGTACGATAAATCGAAATCAAGAGGAAATGATGCGAATACTTACAGCGGGTTCCTTGAAAAACAACAAGGACAACAGTGGCTAATGGTGGTGTCGATCGGTTCGAATCGTAAGCTTCCATGAAACCATGTCTCGACCTCTGCTCAGTTTACCCGATTGAGAGCAATATTTTCTTTTCCTAAAACTATTTTTAGAAAACGGCTGAAGATAATGTGTAAATGGCTGCTAGACCTTACACATCGTTTTATATCCAAGTTACCCTAACATATTAGAGATTTTATTATTTCAAATTAATTTAAATTAAATATTAGGATAATTAAAACATATGTATATCAAATATACATATATTAACTCTAGATATATTTTAGCAACTTACAACAAATTGTACATCTTTGCTCATTTCAATCCTAGGGTGTGACATTGTAGATTCTTGTAACGTTAGCAGTAATTATTATAATAATTCTAATATTACATACAGTGAGTGACATCTAGCAATATATCATTGTCATCTAAATTAAAAGAAAATATGATTCGACATGTCATCTTTGTGATGAACTATTTTATGTATTACATCATTTTGTCCTTTATATCTAGAATAGGCACAAGTTTTGGAATAGTCACACTTGTATAGCTCATCTGTTGTTTATTGATATCTAGAGTAGACTTTAATTAACGAATAATTTGTGATATCTCATATCAACTTATTCGAGCATGATCATGCATTTCTAGTCTTACTCAATCAAGTGACCTATTATATATTTCCTATTATGTAGGAAGGAAAAATCCTATCTTAATCATACACACCCACTACATATATCGAGATATATTCAATAATAGCCTTTATAGAGCAACTAGTTACGAAGCATGTTTGACTGCATCAAAACATACAACAATATATTGGGATAACATTGATCTCAAGTTGATCTCAAGTCTGAGGATCATACATATAGTCATCACCACGATCAATGTTATGACTGTCACATAATAATCCAAGACATATGCTCATGGTGGGTTAATCAAATACATTGTTCTCTAACAATATAATCATGTATCAATTCTGACATCTCTATGTCAATGAAAACTCGTAGTCATCAATCAATAACATGTTAGTCTTAAGCGTATTATTATTGTCCATGCCCATAATAATACTTGACTAGAGATCTTTTAATAATAACAATTATGTTCTTATATAGACTTTATTATCTTCCAGTTTATGTTAAACACATATATAACTGAAAATAATAGTGGCAATGCCTTTATTCAATAAAATTGATAAATAAAATGTATCATTACAATCATCATATGATTGATCTTTGGGCATACTCTAACACAAGAGTAAAAAATTTAAATGGGTCTAGATTGTTTATCACCTTTATCGATGATCATTGAATAAAAAATTGGACCTCCTTAATGAGTGAAAAATCTAAAACTGAAAGCATATTTAAAAAATTTCAAAATATGGTAGAAACTCAATTTGAAAGCACTATTCGAATCCTTCAAACTGATAATGTTAGTGTGTACTTCACTATTCGAATCCTTAGGACCTTACTTAAAAAAAATGGATTATACATATCGGTTCTTGTGTTAATTCTCTTCAACAGAATGGGATAGTAGAGAGAAAGAATATACACCTTTAAGAAATCATTAGATCCTTGTTATTTTCCTCCGATATTTCAAAATATTAGTAAAAAGAGGCCATTGTTATTGCCAAAAACTTGATTTATAGGATGCCTAGTAAACCTATAAAATTCCAATCCCTTAGAAATGTCCAACTTCAGACTTTTTCCCACTTCAAGTCTCTTTCTTCCAATCTTCCTTTCAAGATCTTTGGGTGTACCATTTTTGTTCATATTTTAACCC